GGAGCTAGTGGCAGGGGCGTCTCTGATGGAGCAGTCCTACTGCCGTCTTGGAGCGTTATTCCCAGGTACGTAGGCTCCAACTCTTTGGCTTTCCTGGAAATTCTGTGAACTGCATAATATCTTTGAATAAATCTATTTTTTTCATTAAACCAGTGAGGTTGGCTCCTGTTGTCTGCCACGAGGAGCCTTCACACAGAGGTCCAAACTGGGAGAATCCTGGAGTCAGATCATCCCTCTCCTGCTGTTCCCGGTCTCTGCCACATGGAGTTGCTATGGAGAAGCTGGCTCTTCACTCTTTGGGCCCCAACCCCGGTCCACTCTGCGGTGAAGCCTCCAGGTCCCAGGTCACCATGCAGACTTCTTGGTCCTTTGAGGGGCCTTGATGCCATTCCTTCCTAGCTCAGCTGAGGGCGCCTCGTATGCTTGCAGCCCTTAGTCCTTTTCTCTTTTCATATTATGCACAGATATCTTTCCAGGTCTGCTGCATCAGGACAAGGTGGTGGTTTTAAAATATGCCACAGATTCTTTGACACCCCTCCCATCAAGAGATGGATTATATTTGCTCCCCTTAAACTTGATCAGGTCTCTGTGACGTAAGTGAGGCTAAATGACTTCCAAGGCTGGTTAAAAAAGGCTGCACAGGTTCTGCAGGTTCTTTTGGGACACTTGTCAGCAGCTATGTAAGAAGCCTGGTGCCCCAGATTGCCATGGGGAGAGCCCATGTGGAGAGACCACATAGAGAGAGATGGCGAAAAGCCCAGCTGTTTGAGTCCTCCCAGCCCAGGCTGCAGACATGCGAGTGAAGAAGGCTTTGAGATGGCTCTTGCCCCGGCCCTGTCTAAGGGCAACTTCATGAGAGGATGGAAGAACTGCCCTGCTGAGCCCAGCCAATCCCCAGATGCATGAGCAAAATAATAAACAATTATTATTTAAATCACTATTCTGGGGTTCTTCCTTACGCAGCAACAGATAACCAAATACTCCCCTGCAGTCAATGACAAAAGGAATTAAAAATCTGGTCAGCAAGGGAAGGGGAGGAGGAGTTATTGTTTAGTGGGGACAGAGTTTCAGTTTGGGAAATGTTTCTAGAGATGGATGGTGGTGATGGTTGCACAACAATGTGAAAGTACTTAGTGCCACTGAACTCTATACTTTAAGATGGTTAAAATGGTGAATTTTTTGCTATTTTGCCAAATATTTGGCATGTTTTTCCAAAATTTTTAAAAAGGAAAAAAAAATCTAGGCAGCAACTGATTTTGAAATATAAGCAGAAATGGGCATTTCTATCATTAAAACAATTGGACTCTATCCAGAACTGGACCCCAGGTATTGAAGGTAATATTTATGTGAAAAATATACCTCTGCCATCAAGGTGATGATAGCTCTGCTTTAAAAATATAATAGAAGCAGCTAATGTGTATGCACTGAGCTCCTTCTATGAACCAAATGCTAGGGCTGCAGCCAGAAGGAAGACAGACAAAGTCTCTCTTTTCATGTGTCTCCCATTGGAGTGGGGGAGGACATGGTGGGTGGGTGAGCAGCGTGGGGCAAGAGGTAGACAAACAAATGGGAACAGAATGTGTTGGGTGATGACGAGTGCTGTGCTGAGATTATGGCAGGGTCATGTGATAGAGAGATTGGGTGCCTGCTGTACACTGGGTCCATGGGGAACCCTGAGTGGATGGTGGTGCCATTTACTATGGTGGGAGAAGCAGGTTTAAGAAGGGGCAATCAAGAGTTTGGGGTTGGCCATAGTTCTTTTGAAATGCTCTTAGATATCCAGAGGGAGATGTTAAAGTGCTCAGTGAGATAGACTAGTCTGGAGTTCTAGGAAAGGGCAGGCCTGGAGATATGGATTTTTGAGTCATTGGACTGTGGGTGGGATTTAAAGCTGAATCTAGATGAGATCACCAGGGGAAAGTGCCAAGTTAGAGAAGTGACCAGAAGGAAGAGGCTGAGACCAGCACCCAGGGAGGCAGAGGGCCAGGCAGTGAGTGTGATGCCCCACAGGGTGGACTGTGTCTGCTGTTGCTGGGGGCAGGGGGAGATGAGAACGGGGGAAGTGACTGTGAGGTTTCACACCATGGAGGGCAATGGTTGTGCTGCAGCATCTGTGGAGAGGTTTAGAGAGAGGGTCAAGGAGAACTTGAGAAATGAGAAGAGAGAGAGAAATTTTTCAAAAACTTTTAATACTTAAAGAAGCAGAGTAATAAGACAAGAGCTATGAGGTGAGTTATTTCCCTGTGACAGGTACGATGCCAAACATTTTACTTAAGTTTGTAATTTCATTTTTCCAAAGTTCCAGCTTCCATTTTAAAGATGGAAAATGAGACACAAAGAAGACAATAAATTGCCCAGGGCCAAGCAATTAGTAGGTGGTCGACTTGGGGTTTGAACACAAGCTTCTGTGAATCCAATGTCATTCAACTAGCTAAACCTTTAGTATAGTCAATACATCACTCCTATATGAGGTGATCAGTTAATTACATTTTCTAATGAATAAAATATGTATGCTTGACTAAAATATTTATTTGAGAATTATGCAGCAAAATTCCAACATGGCATAAACTTTGTAGAGACCTTTAAAGATATCCAGTAAGATTTGCTTTATTTTTTTCCCCTAGAGAAGTACTAATTATGCAGTATCATTTCAACTTCAACAGAACTCCTGAGAAAAAAAGAGCAGAAAGAAGAGAGAGATCACAGTTTTATACATTGTGCAGAGAAATAAGAGACCTTCCCACATGGTAGCTAATCCAGTCAAAATAATTGGCCACTTTGGTGTAAACGCCTGGAGTGCCTGGTCTTCCACAGTTTTCACCCCAACTCACAACACCCCAAACATAAGTCACATTGTTGGCATCCTGACAGACTAAGGGGCCTCCAGAGTCCCCTTTACAGGCATCAATGGAACCGTCACTTGTACCTGAGAAAGACAAAGGAAAAAGAAAGTCACACATTTACTTCCATTTGTCACGGCCGCCATACCAGCTTCCTGCTCCTTCCACCAGCGCGGGAGGACTTCAGCTTCCTCACACTCTCCCGGCAGGAAACACTGCGAGCTCGCCCTCACAGGCCCTGCTGGCCCGCAGAGCGGTAGAGAGGCAGGTTGGGAAACATTTTGTCTTCTACTCATTCCCCAGATTAGCAAGTGCTCCCCCCACCTTCTCTACTTCACGCAAGTATACACTGTGGTGACACCGCAACCTGAAAGTAGCATCAGATGCCAAGAGGGAAGATAACAGCAATACTTAGTGTTTATTGAGTGCTTGATATCTACTAGTCAGTCATTGTTTCAGTCCTCACCATAAACTATGAGGTAAGTATCATCACTATCCCTGTTTGAAGATGAGACAAATAAGGCACAGAGAGGCTGATTAACTTGTTCAACGTCATACAGCGAATAAGTGGCAGAGCCTGGACTTGAGCTCAGGCAGCCAGACCTCAGAGCATGTCCCATACTGTGATATTGCCTCCTGGGAGATTTTGTGCCCTTCCCCTGTTTTGTGCTCTGTAATCCTGAGCTCCATTTTAAGATGAGAGGCCACAGGGAATGGTCTATTTACGTTCTTCTTACTCTGATGACTTTCTAAGATTTTTAAATCACTGTATCCAAGAAGTTATAGGATGTCTTTTTCTGTAATACACTATTTATAAGTGGCTTCAATAAAGCATCCTGATTGTACTGCCCTGGCTGGTACCCTGCCTTTGGGTCATCACCCAAAGTAGGAGCTGCTGTGGTTGGGTTAGGTCGGGCCCTAGCACCTCTGTGACGTGACAAAGACAGTGGCACGCAGCATGGAAGTGCAATGGGGTTTCCGAAGATGGAGAATCTACTTCCAACTGGATGCATTTGAAATGAGATCCTTTGGCGTTTTATTTAGAAGACGTTTGGGTTTTGATGCTGGATATACCACTTGTCTGTAAGACTCTGGGCACATTGTGTAACTGCTCTGCATCTGTTTCCTCATCTACTAAGACCCCAATTTTGCAGATGAGGAAACTTGCTCCAGGTCACAGGAGTAGTAATTGGCAAAACTGGGCTATAAGTCCAGGCAGCCTGGCTCCACAGTCTGTGCTCTTCATCACCTTGCTATCCTGCTGTATAACAGCTTCAGGAAGATTTTCCTCTTAGCATTAGAGGGAACTTGAGTGAAGGGGCAAGGATTGAAAGAGTTGATACTGCAACAGCCAGAGGCCAAATGAAAGGTCCAGGACCCAGAGCAGGGGGCTGATCGGGTGGGGAGGAGGAGAGACGTTTATAGAGGGGAGGGGATATATGTGTATATATCTCTCTCAGAGAAACCACTTGGTGCTCACCTGCACATTCCATTTCTTTCTCAAAGTAGCGATCTGCGTAGTACTTAGAGCAGTCGCCGATTAGATGAACCTCACCCCACTTAAGTAAGAAGACTTTCTTAAGACCTAAACAAAGTGAGAAAACAAATAGACATTCAGAAGTCACAAATGAGGACTCTAAATAAATACTTACTCTCATAACTTAGGAATATATAAAAATATATATATTCTTTAACACATATATAAACCTTTGGGGATAATTCATTAGCATATTAATCATACACTGCTCATATCCTCAGTTTCTATAACTGTTTTTCTAAATGCAGTCAAGGGGCATAATTGCACACAGGTCTGAAGTCATACTCATTTACTAAAGAGCGGGGTACCCTGAGACAGATGCGACAAAGGCCTTCCCTTCCTATTGCTGAGCCCAGTGCAGGGGTGAGTAGGAATCAGTGCTCAGGGGCTTCTCACAGAAAGAGCTCCTATCCTCCTACAGTCCTTTATTTCCATGGAAGTGCTTGTTAGAGTTAAAACAACTTTTTAATATAAGAAGGTAAAATGAAGAAGATACGTACGAAGTTATGAGTGTGTGTGTGTGTTTCTGCGCCTGTGAGGAACTCCATCTCCTGAGTGACTTGAAAGTGACTGAAAGAGGATTTAGGATTTCCTTTCCATTGAAGTCAGAGGCTGGGGACTTGAACAGTTTTCGTTCAAGGACAGAGAGGGGCCAGGTCCTGTTGCCGATGGACAGTCCAGGGAAGGTGGGAAAATCCCAAGAATATAGGGCGAGGTGTCTCGGGTATCAGGAGTGACTCTGCGCGTCTCCATCCTCTTTCCCAGTGTGCAGCAGTGTTTCTGCTCTGGAAGGGCAGGGGCTAGCCTGACTCCTTCTCTGTGGCACCACACCCAGCTGCATGCTGGCACGAAGTAGTTGCTTAATCATATTTATGTAATTAATTAATCCATGAACTCAGTAATTCAATTTACACTAAAAATCTTTTGCCAAATGATTACCTCCTCAATCAATCTGTAAACTACCAGGGGACAGAGACCTCTGGCTTATCCGGAGAGGACCCCCTACACGACCCAGCACTGTGGTGAGCACATGGTGGTTACCTGTAGAACTAATGTTCTTGTCTTCTGGGAGGCAGAGGGAGATAAAAATCCACCAAAGTATATGGCAAATCAGGAAAGAATTTCTTTTATTCCCTTTCAAGTCCTAATTCAAATTCGTCTCAAGATGGCTACCTTCTTCAGGATAACAGCTTTTTAAAAATTAGTAATTTATTATTTCCCCTAACTCGGGAGAAGCCTTTAAAAACTGGGAGCTCCCTACCGCTTGAGCAATTTTGAATGACTCAGGAGATTGCTCCCTCCCTTGAACTCTTGTTTTGTATCCTTCTTGAGACACTTGTCACATTCTGCTGTCTGATGGTGGCATTCGTGTCTGATGGCTCCTCGGTACTGAAAGTGCCTTGAGAACTGTCCTTTGTCTTTCAGCCTTTCAGTCTCTGCAGCCCTTGTTCATTGACTGGGTCCATATTTTCCAGCAGTGAAATCCTAGCACTTTAGCATTACTATCTTCCAGTTACAGGAAGGGCTCCATAAATGTGTTAAGCCATATCTGATTAATAAATAAACCAATGCAGCAGAACATGTCTACCAGCTCATAGAAAATGCATGGAGGGGCCGGCCCGGTGGCGCCAGTGGTTAAGTGCGCGAGCTCCGCTGCGGCGGCCCTGGGTTTGCCGGTTCGGATCCTGGGTGCGTACCGACGCACCGCTTGTCAGGCCATGCTGTGGCGGCGTCCCATATAAAGTGGAGGAAGATGGGCACGGATGTTAGCTCAGGGCCAGTCTTCCTCAACAAAAAAAAAAAAAAAAAGAGGAGGATTGGCAGATTTTAGCCCAGGGGTGATCTTCCTCAAAAAAAAAAAAAAAGAAATGAACTAAAAATAAAAAAAAAAGATATATTAAAAAAAAAAAAGAAAATGCATGAAACAGAAGAACATGTTGAATGCCACATCAAGGATACAATCTGCCAAATTCAAGACGTGGAAATTCTAAAGTAAGAATGACCCAGTTTCTTTAATAAATACATTTTAAATAAAAGGAAGGGGTAGGTTCTAGATTAAAAGAGATTTAAGAAAAATAGTCACCAAGTGCAGTTCGTGGCCTTTGGATCGCAATGGAAATAATCTGATTGTAAAAGTATTTTGTAAACAATTGAGGAATATTAAACATGGGCTGGTTGATAGATGACATTGCGAATCACTTGCATTTTATTGCGTATGGATGGTGTGGTGTTTTTGTTTCTTTAAGTCTTTACCTGGTTAAGATATATACTGGAGTATTCATGGGTGAAATTACAGGATAACTGGGATTTGATTTAATATACTGCAGGAAAAAATAAGTGTGTGTTGGGGGGAATATGTAGAACAGCCCCTGAGTGTCCTTCAGATCCATCCTCCACCCTTCAGTGCCCTGCCCCCTGCCCTAGGAGCCTGACCTGGAGGGACTGCCTCAACAGGAATCCCTTAGCCTCTGGCTTGCAGCAGAGGACCCCAGCAGGAGGGAGGAGGGGAGCAGGGAGGAGGCGAGATTGGGGCTGGCTATAACCTTCAACCCAAGGTCATCGCTTCTCCCAAGGCAGCCTGCTCTAGCTGAGGTTCTTTCTCCTTCTGGTAATATCTCCTTCCCCTTATGCCTTCAGATCTAGGAAAGGTCTCAGTTCTGGTACTTTTAATCCTGGATTCCTGTATAGCCCTTGTGGTTCCCCAGCCTCCCACCCACATCTTTGTAATTAACCCCCTTACAAATAAACATTCCTAATTATCCTATAGAGATAATAATTGATTCAGGGAGATAAAACAAGATCGGTAGAATGTTGATAACTGTGGAAACTGGGTGATGAATAAGTAGGTTTATTATATTTTTATCTCTACTTTTGTGAAACTTGTAAATGTACATAATACAATTTTTAAGAAAAAACAGAACAAATTTAAGGACATAATGCCTTCTGGATGAATTAATTACTAATAAAATTTAGTATTTTGTAAGTTTTAGTTATTCAGACCTACCACAAATCCAGGTTAATTTATATATATATTTTATACTTTTCAATGTGGCAATTATACAGAATGTGTTGGAATATGAGTTTATAAGACTGATGCAGTGAAGTTATTTACAAAGAGAGTTTAAGAGGTCAAAAGGAAGCTAAATCTCAAGGCTAACTCTTCAAGAGGAAGGGAAACGCAATGGCTAATTTATTTCCTCTAATTTAGCAGGTCTTTCTAATAATTTGTCCCTAAGTGTCCATGTCTCTCATTCATGTGAATGTCCACCTCAAGTCTTCGTAGAAGCTCAAGGAATGAATTCTTTCTGTTCTCTTTCTCTTTGTGGGTTGTGGGGTGGGGCATGGAGAATGGAGGAGGGGAAGGAGAGAGCAGAGAGTTGTGGCATCGCTGACTCAGCATATCCTGTGACTATCCCTTTGAAACCTTTATCTTCCATCCATATCTCTCCAACAAATCCACACAGTGCATGCTCTAGGTCCCCATGTCACTCTGTTTTTTTCTTGGTGAGTGGTTCCCTCTCAATGTACAATTCAGGATCACAGAGTATAGGTGTCCTTTGAAACTCTGGATCAGGATCAGCTACATAATTTGTGGAGCCCAGTGAAAAATGAAAATGTGAGGTGGGGCCCCTGCAAAAATTATTAAGAATTTCATGACAGTGACAGCAGAGCAGTAAACCAAGCACAGGGCCCTTTGGTCCCATGCCCACGGAGCCGGCCCTGGCTAGATGTTCACTTTTCTGGATTTGATGCTGGGTTTCTCTCTGAGCACTTGATTAGCTCCTATGCGTTTCTATTTCCATTCACTTTCAACCCTTGGATTCTGATGAACAAAGTGTAAAACATATACCTTTTTCTCGACCAAAGCCAGAAACGATGCATGTATCATTAGGTCGGAACAGATACGGAGACCAGGGCACACAGGCAGGGATGGAATTAGGCAGCACACATTCTTTTTGGTTTGAGCGTTTTTTCAGTTCAATCAAGGCTATGTCATTTTGGTAGGTGGATCCGTTGTAGTTCTCATGGATAATAACTCTATTTGCCCACTGAACGAGTACTCCAGAGTTAGGATTTAACCAGTCTACTAACGATGTCCATATTTGGTAACGGTGAACTCTACTGACTCTGTAACAGAAAGGAAAAGGGAAATAAAATATATTGAGGAAAATGCCCAACTATAAACATGGACTTCTGATGCTTCATCTTTATATTCTCCCTTTTAAAGAATCTTTTTCATTTTCCCAGATTTTTTTTATCCTTGCTGTCATGAAGCAGTGCAATTAACCTTACTCAGGGCAGAATTAAAGTCAATGGGTAAATGAAGAGAGGAAAAATCCATCTAACTGCTCAATATCAGGGACACACAGAACTTGCTGACAACCAGAGATGCCCAGAAGTAGAACGAGTTGGCTGCCTCTGGAGTGAAAGCACCATCACGTAAGGTGTTTAAACAGAGACCAGACAGCATCCAGCCAGAAATGTGGTTGAAGAAGTGGGAAGTCAGAGCACAGGCTCTCCTGACTCTGCTAACCCCAGAGGTTCTTGGGGCGAAGACCACAGCGGTCATCATCCTGACCTTTCAGACTGACTTCGTCCTAACATCGCGTTGTATTTATTTGCTCCCAAGACCTTCTTCCTATTAGACTGTGCTACTTAAGTCAAAGATGGGGTCTTATTCATCTGTGGATAGATGTACCTGGAACATAGTAGCTATTTTAAAATCCAACTGAAATGGTCAATGAGCTAAATATTGCCATTTCTTATGCGTCACTCCACTTTCATACCAATTTTCACCTCCTAGTTTCCAGCAAATCGGGCATCTACCATCATTTTCTCAGGTAATCACCCTACAGTTAAACAGTGATGTCCTAGGAGCTAACAAGGTGTCAGGATGCTTTTATTTTACTTAGTGTTCCAAAAACGCTGTGCTTCACATTAATTTTGATTGTTTTTAGGATCAGAGGTCCCGAATATCGTTTAAAGGTTAGCCCTGTTTATCCATTCAATTTACCCCAAAAATACGTAGTGTGCACCTGCTACTTCTAGGCACAGTGCTGGCCACTGGGATGCAGAAATGAGCAAAATCAGAAATAGCTCCTGCTTTCATGGTGCTCAGGGTCCAGGGAAAGATGCAGCATTAAATGGATAATTACACAAATTAAGATATGTATTCTACTGTGAAAAGTGAGAGGGATGAACAGCACATGGGGTTCCAAGAGCTTATCAAGAGGGCTTTGACTTAGAGGAGTCAGAGAAGGTTCTGTGAGGAAGTGAAGATTGAGCTGAGATCTGTCCGAAGAGTAGCATGAACTAGGGAAACAGCGTAACATATTTAATCATTCCACATGTTTCCTCTCCCTCTCAACTTTGGGTAATCTGCAGACTTGCTAAGCAGGCCTTCATCTAAGTTACTGTCAAATGTGTTGAACTTGATTTTATCCTGGCTCTGCCACTTACTAGTAGTGTAGCTTTAGCCAAGTCATGTAACTTCAGTCTCAGTCTGCTTATCTACAAAATGGGAAGAATAACATTTACCTCTTAGGACTGTTGAGACTATGAAAACAAAATAACATATGTGAATGTGCTGGGCACAGTATCTGGTCTGTAAGAGGTGCTCGATAAATGATGTTTCATTCATTCTAAAGGCCAGAACTGAGGCTAGAATCCTGAACTCTGTCCTCCTCCAAGCTGACCTTGATTCATTATCAACACCTTTTGAGTATTGCCCTCCAGCCACTGTTATGAATTGAACTGTGTTCCCCTAAAATTCATATGTTGAAGTCCTAACCCCCAATGTGACTGTATTGGAGATGGGGCCTTTAAAGAGGTAATTAAGGTTAAATGAGGTCATAAGAGTAGAGCCCTAATCCAATATGATTGGTCTCCTTACAAGATGAGGAAGACACATCAGGGATGCTCGTATGCAGAGAAAGGGCCCTGTGAGGACACAGCAAAAGGACAGCTGTCTGAAGCCAAGGATAAACCAACCCTACCAGCACCTTGATCTTGAACTTCTAGCCTCCAGAACTGTGAGAAAATAAATTTCTGTTATTTAAGCCCTGCACTCTGTGGTATTCTGTTATGGGAACCCCAGCAAACTAATACAGCCACTTATAACTCTTATTGGCCCTGAATCAAAATTGTATTTCCCATCTGCAGGTAACTGAGAGACATCTTGTCACATGCCAATGCTGAATCCAGACGCACTACGCCTACCCCACTTCTCTGACCTGAGAATCTCAAAACCCTGTCAAAGGAGGAAGTAACATGACTTGGTCTTCATCAGGCAAGTCTCCTCCAACAACTCAGCAGGCTAATCCCTCAGGGATTCATGGTCCATCAACTAGGACCTGCTGCAGCCCGAGGAACTTCCAGACAGCCAAATGCCATGTGAGTGGTGCCCTCTGGATGGTGCAGCACAGGGGCCCAGGCCACAGCTAGGTGTCATGGATCACGTAAGTGGTTTATCCGGAATCACAGGACGAGCAGCCAGTGCTGGAGCCGTATGTGAGATGATTAGCCTGGAGCTTTGAACAGTTCCTTTATTGCCCGAAATACATATCAAATACATTTAAGGGTCCTGGGTGGGACAAAATGATTTGTGCATTTGGAGCCTTTGAATGCATTTGGCTCTTTAAACAACATCTTTGTTGAGGTGAGACCAGAAAAAATGCCGGGTTAGTAGTATCTCTTTATAAACTGTTCAGATATAAACTCTCCCCAACGGTGTGGTCCTAGCTCTAAAATGTAGCTAGTACCTACTTGCTTTCTCATTATGCAAAGGAGCCAAGTGAAGTCACTTGGTCCCTACAAGTTTGATGCGCCCTTGCCAGCTGGATCAACAATTTGATCTGCAGAGAACACAGCAGGTTCTGGGCGAGTGGCCTCTAGGGTCCCAACCACGAATATCCGAGGTATTTAGCAGTTAGAGTAGAACTTGCCATGACTTGCTCAGATACTTTTTTACTTATCCTTTGCCACAATCTTAATTACCCACTTTCATTGTTTCAGGAAATCCAAAATCTGTTGGAGACGTTTTTTCACCTGACACAATGTGCAGCAGTCAGAATCCAACAGCCACCGATATAAACTCCTCCACAGCTGAGGGAGGTGTCACTGACATCCTTAATTGCCACCTGCCACGGGAGGTCTCCCTGTAAAAGACACTTGTGTGGTCACTGCCGCTCTACCAGACAGCGATACAAACAGACGGTTCTAAGATATCTCCATTGCAAGACTCCCCGTCTCTTATGATTACATGGCCCCTCCCCTCGCCCCCCCCCCCGTTTTGTTCAAACTTGGGCTGCTCCCGGGAAGTGACGTCATGACTCTTCGTGCGGGGTTACCGCGTGTGCCGGCTTTCCTCCTACGACTCGTTTCCTTCGAATGGGCGAGCTGTGTTTAACTCCACAGGATAGTTTAGGGGAAAATGACTTTATCCATTTTCTTTCTTCAAGAAAGGAAGAGATTGTATCGTTATGACTTCGAACCCGTTATCTTGTGGGCAGACACTTCTTATCTCTGCCCCCGAACAGAGTCACAGCTAATACGAGACAGATCAGATTCAGTAGTAAGGTATTTTGGACGCTAAACTGTACTATTCACCTTGTTTACAAACGCTGGCTTATTATTAAAATTGGCTTGATTCTCTGAAGTTCTGCCTAAAGGTGGACTAGTGGCAGAAAGAGGCTGGCCGAGGGGTTAAGCATTCACCGACCTCTGGCAGATGCCACATGCCACATGCCCAGGCATTACTATCGGGACAGCTCAGCAAGGGGATGACAGTTCAGCATGGCGGTGACAGCTCAGAATGGGGGTCACGTGGGGAACTCGAACTTCTCACTTTCCTGGTTTTTACTTTCCAGAGGCTGTTTGTATGGAACTCTTCAATAATATTAATATTAACATTAATGATGTTAATATTGACTACTTTCTATGTGTCAGGCCCCATGCTAAGTACTTTGTGTATAGTTTATCTCATTCAATCATCATAGTAACCCTGAGAGGTAATGTGCCAGGGACCCCTGGTCACGCCAGGATCAGGCTGGGAGTGGGGTGTGTCTGTAGCCACTTGACATGTGATGATGTTTCCTTTCTCCGTGAGCATTCAGACCTGGCACATTTGTAACTGGGAGAATGTGGTAGAGCAAGGCTTGAATTTGCAAGAAAATTCATGACAAAGGAAGAAAGTAAAGTAAAGATGCTCTCCTTATGCTCTTTCTATATTTTACCATGTCATGAAAATTTTTGCAAACTTGCTTCTTAGCCCCAAATGTGAAAGGAAAATTAATATCACTGTCAATTGCTTTGAGCATATACGAAGGAGGTAGGTCCTCAGGGGAGAGAAGTTGTGAACAAATGTGGATAGAAGATATTTTGGGTCCCACCCACCCTAAGAACTGGGTGGGGAGAAGGGTGTGATGGGAAGTTTTAAATTTCTGCTTGGACCTTTGAAAGAAGAGAGACTTCCTCTATTGAGGACCTTGGAACCAGTAGTGGGGGTAGTATCTGAAAATTAATGTTATCTTGAGTAGAAAATAAAGGGCCTTTGCTGAAAATCCCTCTGACTGATATCTATAGCTTTGAGATCTAAATCTTTCACTAGTTGCCTGATTAAAAAAAAATTGTTAATTAATTTTTGGGGCCTGGCAGTTGGAAGGCAGTCTTACATGAGCTTCAGTTGAAAATCCCCCTAAAATAGGGAGCTATTTTATTCCCAATTTGTATTTGAGCTTAAGTTACTCACCTAAGGTTACACAGTTAATAAATAACTGAGTCAGGATTTAACTCAAGTCATTCTGACCCAAAAGCTCTTATCAACTACTGTCTGCCCAGGAACTTAATACTTTAATTAAATTTGGCTCTTAGTGCACAACTGGCCTGGGTACAGATCTTCACAGACCTTCTGTTATTATGGTTTAAAACATTGCAAAAGAACAGGTTAATTCAGTTAAAATCTATTATTTTTCTATTTCAAAATGTATGTTCTGAGTCATGCTTAAAATCTGGTTGTTTTTGACAAAACTGACCTGACAAATCTCATAACAAATAGAAAAATTTTGTGTGGGACTAGAGTATTGTTTTCACTTCAAAATTAGCCATATGCATTAACTCATTTTTAAAAGCAGTTCTCGAGGAGCGTTTATGCTTGTTTTTCTTAAAAGTGATAAGGAAGAGAAAAGAGTATTTAAATTGATATCTAAGGTAATTGTTGCTTGAGTCAGTTATATTACCTTACATGTACACACACGCGACGTGAAAAGGCAAACTTAAACCAGTGAACCACTAGGAAAAATGAACAATGTTGACCTACCTGCATCCATATCAGCAGTCAAAACTTCTTCTATAATAAAACAAAAGTTCCGATGTTTAAAGATGTATTTATAGTAAAAATTAAATCATTAAAATCATTTAAACTTTGATAATAATTTTCTGTCTTAAAACTTGTTCTCCCTTTAAAAAGGATAGTACAAAATCCCCAAAGCACATCGTCTTATTGCCTTTCTATAGCTAGGTAGTTGTGAAGGCTCAAGATGAGCTGTTGGAAACTTTGCAGCACAAACTAGAAGTGTCTGTTGGTACAAGTGAATGGTGAGACTCATGGGGCTGCAGTTTTCTGCATTTAGAGAAGGCAAAATGCCCAGGTCAGAGAAGGAAAGCTGCTCTTTCAGCTCTGCACTCACAAGGTCTTTCCGTGAGGTAGGGAGCAGTCACACCAACACTGACGAAAAGAGCCCTGAGCTGACATTAAAAAGGATCCTCTCATTTTGTACATAATATGGCACCTCTTACAGGGATCATGCAAACAAAGATATTTCATTGGTTTCAGGATTAGGCATGGTTAGTATCAGGCATCGAGGATGCAGAAGTCAAAAGCAAACAAAAACAAAAAAAGATTCTTCTTCCTTTCTCCCTTAGACTTTTGCGTGAAGTTATATGGGATGATTCCATCTTCACTTTGCTGCCCTAGAACAGTTCAGTCATGGACAGGATCATGACTGCTTTGACCCGGGGATTTGAAGGTGGAGTCCCACTGATGTGTTGCTGTGTCTTGGATGAGGTTGCAATCTTACATCTCATCCCTGGATTTCCCAAGTACTTTTGGGAGCGATATACATGTATCTGTTATGCCACACGCCGAGGTAATTTTCTGGGGCAGAGAGAGGCTCTGCTTAGAGCTTTCACAAAAGCACCTTCATGAATCAAAGAGAAGACTCAAACATTCATATTAAATACTCCACAAAGGAAGATGGGGAAACTCCAGTGTAGCTGAGGTGTACTGGAGATCAGAAGAGCAGCACGAGCTCCAAAAGCACAAACCATAAGAAAAACAATCAATGACTTTGATCATGTAAAGATTAAAGATTTATATTCAACAAAGCTCACTATGGACAAAGTTAATAGACAGGTGACAGAATGGAAGACAGTATTTGCAATGTCTAAAACTGAAAATGTATTAATATCTGGAATGCAAATCAACAAGAAAGAAGCCTGCAACTCAATATGAACTGAGGCAGAAGATGTGAACTGGCTAAAGGATAGAGGAAAAAAAAAGAAGAGGGAACTCAAAAAGCTGGTATGCATATGAAGAGAAACTCAAGATCATTGGTTATTTCAAAAATTCAAATTAGTAAACTATGCTATATCACTTGACAGTATGAGACCAGCAAAATCAGAAGGCTGGATAATACTAAATGTTAGTGGGGTGAGGAACCCTCCAGCGTCGTTGGCACAGATGAGGACCACAACGGCTCTGCTGAAGAACATGCAGGCACTAGTCAGTCAAATTAAGTAGATGCGTTCCCCAAGAGCCAACTATTCCTTGCCTGGTGAGATGTCTCAGAGAAATCCTCCCACACATCCTTAAAGAGAGGATGCTCATGGCAGTGTGATTGCGGGCTGACAGTCCATTACTGAGGAAGCAGAGATTAAACTATGAAAGAAGAACACCACAGAGGATTTTATGTAGCAGTTAGGAGCAACGGATTAGATGGACACATAGCAACATGGACAGATCTTTAAAAAGTAATGCTTTGTGAAAAGAAAAAAGGAAATATGAGATTTACGACACAATACAATGTGAATTAAAAATGTATGCTCACAAGATAACAATACACATTGGATAAGAATGCATATACACATCAAATCACATTAAAATGGTGGCCTATGGGAAATGGAGGTAAGGTACAGGGGTGAAGAATAAATAAAACAAGAGAGAGGGGGCGGCCTGTGGTGTAGTGGTTAAGTTCGGCACACTCCACTTTGCTGGCCCAGGTTGGTGGGTTTGGATCCCAGGTGCGGACCTACACCACTCGTTGTTGGCCATGCCTTGGTAGCAACCCACATACAAAACAGAGGAAGATTGGCACAGATGTTAGCTCAGGGCAAATCTTCCTCAAGGGAAAAAAGAGGGAGATTGGCAACGAATGTCAGCTCAGGGTGAAGAAAAAAATAAAAATAAAAAATAAAACGAGAGGGGCCTTGTCTGGACCAATGATGATCCTGTGCAGTGAGCTGAGGAGATTCATTAACTCATCTCTTTGCCCCTGAGGTCCAAGAAACCAGGAAGGAAAGGAAAGAGGAAAGGAAGGCGAAAAGGAAGAAAGATGGAAAAAAACAACAGCAGCCTTAAGGGCAAAATGACAAGAGGGAGGGAATACAAGGAGAGAACTGAGATTAGGCATTGAGAACAGGGCTGATCTTGAGCATATAAAAGTCCCCCAGGAGTCTAAGAAATCCTGAGGAGGACCATGAACTTCTGGTAGGCATTTTGTATGAATAATAAAGAAAAGGGTGGCCCTAAACAGCTGGAGGATTTGGGGACACCTGGCTTACAAAAGTGAATAAGAGATACCTATCAGAGAGAGTGTTATCTTTCCTTTATTGGCAGTTTCTTCAGGAGCTGCCTTGGTTTTGAGGAAAAAGTAAAGGAAGAGGAGAAGGGTATTTGGCAAAGGTGAAGTGCCCAGGGAATGCTCCACTTTGGGTGGTTTTTGGTTAGCAGGCTGTGGGTGGGGTGTGTGAGAATGAGTTTACCCCACTGTGGAAAAGGCCTCTGAGCCTAAACTAGTGTTAAAGCTGGGTTATTGGTAACCCATGGTCGTTATCATCCTCAGTTAACAGTTACAAAACAACAACAACAGCAGCAAACACATAGACACAGATAACAGATGGGTGGTTACCAGAGGGGAGTAGGGTGAGGGGAGGGCAAAAGGGGTAAAGGGGCACATTTGTATGGTGATGGATGGAAACTAGACTTTTGGTGGTGAACACAATGAAGTCTATACAGAAGCTGAAATATAATGATGTACCCATGAAATTTATGTAATGTTATAAACCACTGTGACCTCAATAAAAAAATATGTGGAAAAAATAGTTACATTAAAATATAAGAAGAAAGCAGTAGCTTTGTTTTGTTTCAATTGTGCCATAACCCAAAATTTAATAAAATTTTTACCTTGAGCTGCACGCAAAGAGCCTGGAAAGAAAAAACAAAACAAAAAGCAAAAAGCCCCAAAAACTTACCAAAGCAAAGGATAATTTTTATTTGAGAAAAATGCATACCATATATAAATATATTGAACATATATCATAAAAGCTATAACACTTTATTCCTGTTTTAAATTCCGTAATATAAATTTTCTATTTTAAAAATAGATTTACCTTTAATTTCAGGAAGTTCAGCTCCTGAAAACAAAAAAAGTCACTGTAGCAAAGAGATACTTTTTACTAATATAAAATATACAAAAATCATTAATATTTCAGAAATAGTATAACAACTTAACACTTACAAAAAGATAAAAGGGAACCGCAGTATTCCATCATACTTTGATTTTTAATACTGCATAACAAATGTTTCATCTTGCATTTAAACACACACCAATTTCACCACAGCAAGGAAATCATTGACTTGAGTTTTAAAAAGAGATTCATATTTTAGATATATTTCAACACACACCCAATAGCACACTTACTATACAGTTATGCAAAATGTATAACTCTTTTTAACTTATATAAATAAAAGGTGGGCTTATAAATGATAAATGAAATCAAGATATACTCCAAGCCTCCCTTGGTTTAGTGATTCTGATCTGTCCACTGAAAGGAGAGACCAGTGAATATATTAATATATTTATTTTACATGTCTACCGTCACTGGCTCTTTCTTAGAGAGGGAAATATTAGAACAATCAGTGAAATAGGAAAGGCAGAGCTCACAATGAAGAAGGGTAAACTGAGGGTATAATGACAGTTGACTAAATGTATTTTTGGTATGGATTCCAGAAATTGATGTGCCATTTGTGACAACATGGATGGACCTTGAGGGTATTATGATAAGCAAACTAAGTCAGACAGAGAAAGACAAATACCATATGATTTCACTCATATGTGGAAGATAAACAACAAGCAAACACATAGATAAGGAGCACAGATGAGTGGTTACCAGAGGGGAAGGGGGTGAGGGGAAGCTGAAAGGAGTAAAGGGGCACCCTCGTATGGTGATGGTTGGAAACTAGACTATTGGTGGTGAACACGACACAGTCTAGACAGAAGTTGAAATATAATGATGTACACCTGAAATTTATATAGTGTTATAAACCAATGTGATCTCAATTAAAAAAAATAATAATATGTGGAAAAAATGGTTACATTAAAATATAAGAAAACAGCAGTACCTTTGTTTTGTCTCAATTCTGCAATATTCCAAAATTTAGTAAAATTTTTACCTTGAGCCACACGTAAAAACCCTAAGAAAAAAACAAAAAAACCCCCAAATTTACCAAAGCAATGGATAAATTTTATTTGAGAAAGATGCATACCATATATCAATATACTGAACATATATCATAAAAGCTATAACACCTTGTTCTTGTTTTCAATTCTGTAATATAAATTTTCTATTATAAAAATAGATTTACCATTAATTTCAGGACGTTCAGCTCCTGAAAACAAAACAAAAAAATCACTGTAGCAAAGAGATACTTTTCACTTGAATAAAATATACAAAATCATTAATGTTTCAGAAATAGTACAACAAACTAACATTTACAAAAAGATAAAAGGGAACCGCAGTATGCCATCTCATGTTGATTTTTAATACTGCATAACAAATGTTTCATCTTGCATTTAAACACACACCAATTTCACCACAGCAAGGAAATCATTTTAAGTTGAGTTTTAAAAAGAGATTTGTATTTCAGATATATTTGAACACACACCCAACAGCACACTTACTATACAGTTATACAAAATGTATAACTCTTTTTAACTTATATTAATAAAAGGTGGGCTTATAAATGATATATGAAATCAAGATATACTCCAAGCCTGCCTTGGTTTAGTGATTCTGATCTGTCCACTGAAAGGAGAGACCAGTGAATATATTAATATATTTATTTTACATGTCTATTGTCACTGGCTCTTTCTTAGAGAGGGAAATATTAGAACAATCAGTGAAATAGGAAAGGCAGAGCTCACACTGAAGAAGGGTAAACTGAGGTAACAATGACAGTCAACTACATGTATTTTTTGTGTATGTGTGAGGAAGATGGGCCCTGGGCTAACATCCGTGGCCATCTTCCTCTACTTTATATGCGAGACGCCTGCCACAGCATGGCTCGATAAGCGGTGCACAGGTTGATGCTGGGATCCAAACCGGCGAACCCCAGGCCACTGAAGTGAGGTGTGCCAACTTAACCACTACTCCACCAGGCCAGCCCCAGACTAAATGTATTTTTGATATGGATTCCAAAAATTGATGTGCCATTTGAGACAACATGGATGGACCTTGAGGGTATTAGGCTAAGCAAAATTAATCAGACAGAGAAAGACAAATACCATATGATTTCACTCATATGTGGAAGATAAACAACAAGCAAACACATAGATATGGAGAACAGATGAGGGGTTACCAGAGGGAAAGGGGGTGGGGGGAGAGTGAAAGTGGTAAAGGGGCACCTTAGTATGGTGATGGTTGGAACCTAGACTATTGGTGGTGAACACCATGCAGTCTATACAGAAGTCGAAATAGGGCCAGCCCCGTGGCTTGGTGGTTAAGTGAGC